CGTTATTTTCCGAACCGTTTTGTTTTCGTCGTTATTCAACAATCCTCGGCACCTGGACGCCGCCGCATGCAATGTATAAGTTGAATGTGTGTGTCGATGACACGTGTGAAGTCGTTCGAGCCCAAGGCCGTCGAAATCAAGTGGTACCGCGTCCCAAACTTCAACGCGTCCCGGGTTCATGCGAGCCATTCCTCCTCGTCTCTCTTCAGGCCTCTCATCGTCAGGCCTTCGTCTTCCTCGTCTGAATACTCCTCCTCTTCTTCCTCATCTTGTTGTTGCACTTCATGATCCCGTTGGTGAACGGCTGGCGCAACTTCCTCCTCGGGCGCCTCTTCCTCTTCCTCCAACATCCACGTCAAGCCGTTGGCTTGTTCCTCCAACGGGAAAGCTTCCTGTGCGTATTCTTCCAAACCTCTCGGGCCCTCCCAAAGTGCCATGGACTGAGTAAGGCAGTTTTCTTCCAGCTCTACATCTCCAAAGTAGGGAGGTTGCTTTTTGGGATCTTCGTGGCCGAGAGAGAAGAGCTTCTCCAGCGCCTCGAGTTGTTGACGATAGCCATTGGGGATCTTCACCTTGAGCTCGATCGGGCCCCGGATGTACTTGACTGGCCGTCCAACACCTCTCGCAAAAGCCTCACAGGCCTCGCGTGGAGTCAACATCTCCCAAGCCAAGGCGACACGCTTTGTGCGCCACTTGGCCACACCATCCTTGAATATTTGCAGGATGGAGGGACCAACGTCGTGCTCAGCATCCAGCCAAGGCAACTTCACATCTTCGTGGAATGGGGCTTGCCAAGTGAAAGAACCATCCTGCTGGAGTTCCATGCAGAAGAGCGGGTAGGGCAGCGAGGTGAAGTTGTTGTTGTAAATGCCAGTGTACACAAAGGTGGCAGGCATGCCAATGGAGCGGACATACTCTTCGACCTGGTGCTTGGCAGCCCAGAGAGGAAGTGATGGCCAATCCGAGCTGTATGCGGCATGATCGGGCATCGTGGAGTAGACATAGTGTTGTACACCAGCCTTCTTAGCGGCGTCGGCAAGTGCCTTTCCAATCTGGAACTCATCTCCATAGAAGGTGGTGTTGATGAAAGCCAGCTGAGTACCGCGGAAGAGGTCATTGATCAGGTCGTGGTTTACACCAACACCGGAAATGGGACCGTTGGTTGTCACGTCTCTGTTGTCCGGAGTGGGCTTGTGTCTAGTGTACAACTCGCCGACAAGGACGGTGACATTAGGATTTGAGTTGACTTCGGTGGCTACGACGCCTTCGAGATTCCGCAGCTGAGCGCGTACGTGGTAGCCCACAGCCGTGGCAACTCTAATGAATGATGCAGCCTGACGACCGCTGGCATTGATGACAGCAATCGTCTTGTTCGGGGTGGGCATCGGGCGCTTAAAAGGGCGGAAGGTGAGGGAGTTGTTTCTTGAAGAAGACAACGGCGATGCGTCAGAGTATGATGAACGCGAGTGCTTGTGTGTCCTGACGGCGCTGTAGACAGCTGAGTCGCCGTGGTAGTGGTGATTTGAGTGATCCTGCTGTTGGTGTTGCTGTTGTTGCTTGGCGGGTCGGATAGGGATCCCAATCCCGTTGAGTTGGGAAGGCATCAGAGTCACCATCTGAGAAGTCTCGGACACGTACTGCTCTTGCGGGGAAGAGCAGAGGCTTTGGCTGTGCGGCCGGCACAGAGTAGAGGATTTTTTTGAGTCGAGAGAAAGGGTTGCTGCAAGGGCTTGTCGTCAACCCCGCTATTTCCCCCAGAGAATGCGCTGTAGGGAGGGTGTAAGTGCGGCCTCGGTTTGTGGAGAAGGGTGAAAAAAAGAGAGAGGGCGATGTAGTGGTAGGCTGAATGTCCCGAAAACGGCTTCGTCGATCGTTAAGTCGGATTCGATGGATGGATAGGATTTGTTTTCTTAAAGAGGAGTATCAACCATGACAAACCGATACGTAAAATCCCGCCTCGAACCTATAGCAAGCCGAAGGCCTTATCGCGGAATAGGGGAGGACTGAACGGGCCAAGTGCAGGTCTCTGCGCACGCGACGTCGAAAGAACGCGGAGAGAGGCAGGCGTTCGGAGTAAAGGTGTGGACGGGTGACGGGTGACGTGACGGGGTGCGTTCTCGAAAAAAAGGAACAAGAATCAAAATGCGGTCGGTTCCTGAAGCCGTGGACCGGAATGATTCAAGAACCCTGAGGGGTCGGTTGAGGAGAATGGCGAGATACCTTAGATAGCAATCAAACCCGCTATCAAAACAGCGAGCTCCTTATTTTTGGTCGATGGCGGGGTCAACCCCAGCAAACAGCCAAAAAAGCCAAGATCCAAGAGATGGACACACGCCTGTTCAGGCCAAAGGTCGATCAAAAGATCTGGGGGAATGGACGGATAGCAAACTAGGCTGCGTCCGTCGGCGGAGGCGGCGAGGGGAGGTAAGGTATCCGGTCAACAAGGGGGGAGGGGTGTGGTAAATGGAAGTGCTAGACTTTTTGTCGATGCTGCTGATAAGGGAAATTTGGCGAGGCGAGGCAAGGACTGCAGGCGAGCAAGATATCTCCAGGATTGTTGTACGCTCTCTCGTATTTACCCCGGGTGTTCCTGAGATAAGTGGCTCGAGGGTTGGGACGTTGGCAGCTGCAGAAGCTGTAAAATGGATAGGACAGAGGGGTGTCTAGATGGGATGAGACAGCTCTCAATGGCGTGCGGATAGATTTGTCCCGCGAAGATTGCAGCAGGCGTCAATGATGAGGAGAATGCGTGTGCGAGAGACAAGAGATAAAGCGTGAGAGAGTGAGTGAGAATGTGGTGTGTGTGCGAGTGTCCCCTGCCGGTCTCAGTCAAGTGAGCAATTGTTCTAAGTCGACTTGCCCACTCAGGAAAGCTCCGGGATGACGGCAGGTGTGCGTGCTTGCTTGCTGTATGTACTTTGTCGTCGTTGTTGTCGGGCTATCCACCGATAATCTGCAACCGAATACTCACGGTGCAAGGAGGCCGTCCAATCGGGGTATATACTGGCTGACCGTGCCCCAGTATGCGCGTTGGTGTGTCACCGGTTAGATTGCGTCGTGGGCGCTGGGCTGGTCGTCTGTAAAGAGGCCGGCCTAGGTGGGCAGGTTGGGGAGGGAGTTCGGCGTGGAGATCCGATGCGAAGCTGGCTGATTTCGGGGTGTTCCTCACCAGCGGTGAATGGTTTGAGCCTGGGGGTTGTGTGGTCGCCAGGAAAGGAGAAAATAAAGAGGTCCACGGTGCAGTGGTCCAGTGGATAACGACTGGATCAGATGATGTTCCTTGGGGTCTTGGATGGTGCCGTTTTGTGTCGCGATGGCCTTCTGCTTGTGTCGTTGGGCGGCTCTTTTACCTACAGAACGACTAGGGCGAATCTGTAGAGTGGTTCGGGTAGAAACAGGATGGGGTTGCCTTATGTGAAGTCGAACCTTAAGGTGCTTGAGACGACCGGAGCAGAAAGTCCAGGCTGTATCCGTACCTGATGCGAAAAAGGTAGGTAAAGTCGGGGCGTTTTTCGGTTTTCGAGTATGAAAGAGAAAGCCAAGCCAACGATCCAACGCTTTGAGTATAAAAGGTTAGAAGGAAGGCAAAGACCAGATGACCTCAGATGGAGGAGTCTCCAAGCTTTTGATACCGGTCCTAGTCAGTCCGTGTGGTGATATGACCAACTGGAAACGGACAAGGTATGCCGCGATGTTTCTGGGCCGTGCTGGTGGTGCTGGTCCTGGGCCAAGTGAGTGGTGATGATGTTGGGCGAACAGGAAGACAGGCCGAGGCAGAGTGTAGCCAGTGAGATGGAAGGATGTGCGAGGAAAGAGGGTGAAGAAGAGGCGTAACCGTGGATTCGGTAGGATTGATAAGTCTGGGAGCGGAGGGGGAGGGGAATAAGTGTAAGGTAAGTATGTCTGGACAAGGTACCTCAGGTAGATATGTATGCGGGTGTGGGAGAGAAGGTGTGTGACGGGAACTGCCTAATGCTGTAAGTATGGAAGAGTGTGTGATATCCAATCTTCTTGGGTGATGGAAAGAGCCAGACAAAGTACAGCAGCAACCGCGAGGTTCTTAGAGTAGGTAGAGTTAGTCGGCAAATGCAGCAGCAGAACAAACACAAACGGGACGGTCAGAGTCAAAAGTAAAATTCCAATACGGATAAAGAATTTGTATTTTTACTGGAGTGATTTCGGTGGCCAGGGCCAGGCGCGGCAGGACCTTGCGGTTGGCCCTTTTCTGTTAATAATTGAATCTTCGCCGGCGGCCACGAGGTTGAGCACGTTGCGTTTTCTCATTCGAACCTTGATGCAAGCGCAAACAACGGGGCCCCATCGAGCGGAAACACCACACCCAGCCATCAAGCCATCATCCATGGGGCCGGAAGCACGCCCGGATCCCAGAACGTGCCTGGGAAGGGGGGGGGGGGGTACTCGCGGAACTGCGAGAACGCAAGGACAAGTTGGGATGAGATGAGATGGAAACACTAGGAGTGCGATATGGGGGTTGTGGTTCGAGTAAGTAAGTACTAAGTAATGAGAGAACTCTGCTCTTAACCACTGATGATGAAGAGTCGGGAAAGCATTACCACGGCCATCGAGTAATGAGAGGGTAAGTGGTGTAAAAGCGGAAGATGCGAGGTGGGAAGTTAAGTGGGATGGGGAAACACACCTCTGTATCCATACTCGGTACCTACTAGGTAGTGTAGGTAGGTAGGTAGGTAGGTAGGTTGTATGGATACATGAGAAAAGATACGCGGTTACCTCAGCCGGTACGGTGTCGAGGTGGGAGCACGTGTACCGCATTACCTTCCCATTCCATCTAGCACCACCTACCAAAACTTGTGTCTCTTCTTTCTTTCCACTACTACGAAGGTAGCCGACTCCAGTCCCTCACCAAGCAACTTCCAGAAGCTACGCCGTTGTCTGTACTTTCCAGGGTGTACCGGAACCACGCCTGCTACAGCGCAACCAGTAGCAGGCCGGGATCGATGACATGGTCACTGAATCGGGCGATGCATCAACGAGACGGGGACTTCTGGAGCCGTACTGGAGCAATTCTCCAAAAGAGGGGCCGCCCTGGACGGGTCCTGGAACGGGACTACGGCGGGCAGGCCCTCAGTCCATTCCGTCTCAACTCTCAAGGCAAGTCTTTGTGTCCATGTCTCATGAGCGGGAAAGAAAACTTGGAAGGCGCAGATGTATCCGTAGTGGACCTGAGGAGAGAATCTGAGAAAGAGAACGACCTGGAAGAAAGATTACTAGGGCCTCCCCAGTGCCCCATTTGCAGCAATTTTTCTCTTCCCGTGAAGCCTAGCACAGTAGGTTGGCTTTATTATGTAAGAGCATGGCCGCGGTTGGCTCGGGGTTTCGCTTACACAGTTGTTCTTACCTACTGGGAAACTCCTCCAACTTTTTTTTCTCCTCAGACAGTCGGACCTCTCACCATCTGTCCCCAGTCTTTTTTTTTCTTGCGCAATGCTGCGGCTTCAGAAAAATTTTCCTTATCTTTGGCAACTTTATTACCCTTCTCAGTCTAACCTGGAAAGCACCCACGCCGCAGTCACTCACGGCGGAAACCTATGCAACCAAGCCCTGTAATGCCGCCATTCCATTGTCTCCCAAGGCGTCAAGGACATCAAGAGCGGTCACGATAGAGACGACATGAGTACAATACCTTACAAGTTACTTACAACCTTTGGGGCATCTTATCATCCCTCCATGCTACCCAAGGCATAGGGAGGTAGTCGTACATCGTACGTCGTACGTACGTTTTGCATCAATGCCATATTGAAGTATCAATGTGGCCCTCGGATGTGCTCACCGACTACAGTCCACTCCGTACGCTCACTGCCTGTCAAACACGAACCTACCTAGGTACCCTGACGGGCTTGACCTGCCATCACATCATCACATCAGACCGAGACATCCGCCCATGGATATCGGGGTGTCTGCGCCTCCCTCCATACCGGTCCCTCATGCCTATCTGGACGGACACAGATGCTTGCCCGGCTCGGACCATGGCATCAGATAAGGGCACCTTGATGAGTCCAACTTTGTCGGTTCACGGGCCCTATTACGAGCACGGTCGCCCATCACGGGGTCCTTGATTTTAAGCACTACTGCGCCGGTCAGCCCCCGGCGCAAATCAATGTCTCCACATACTGTCGACTGGCGCGTCGTCAGGTTGGTGATCGGAGTCAATCCCGATGTCACAATACTCTCCGAACCCTGTGCAAACTTTTTCTGGCTCAGAGCTCCACACGACTCGCAAACGTGATCCAAAGAAATCTGCATCGTCCACCATCACAGAGCCCACCGCTTCGTTATTACGTCCAAAGCTCGAGCCTCCGGACCATGCCACTACCGATACCAAATGGGCATGGCCTTACGTCGTACACATACGTCTGTCCACGATGCTCGACCAGGTTCTCGCGGTATCTCTCAGAGTCCCCTTCTACGTACGGAGTACAGCATGGCCCCCCTGGCCCGGATGGCTGGGTCCCACTGCTAGCTCCCAGGCAGAAGAATCATCGAATATCGCAATTCTACGCCATGATGGGCAAATCGTACTGCACACCCAGACACCATCCAGAATCTCCCACCCACCACACATGCAGACACTAGCATCTGGGCTCTAGCCTCTAGCCTCACTCTCTGCAGGTCTGAGATTAGCCTCTTCGCTGAGCTACCCGTGCCACGCTCCCACCGGTTACAGCGCTTGCTGCATCACCCGGGTTCGACCTAGCACCGCATCACAACGCCGCCTATTTTGTCTTTGAGGGCCCTTCATGCACGTCGGCTCCAGGAGCGTCAAGTAACCGCCTTCGCGGAGGCGCACCCACGTCTAATTCATATTTGTTCGAGCCTGACGCTGGTAATGCCATTGGTCATGGGAGCGTCGTTGTTATCAGCCAATTATGCTGTTGTATGATGCGATATGGACTATGACGGGCGTGGAGGGAAAGGATCAAGGGAAAGGCGCTGTCGCCCGTGTGCTCACATTCAAGTCCACAGAATTCCGGTTCCGATGACGTTCCGACTGATAACATTGGACGTGAGTAGACACCCTCAAAAACCGAAGAATGGCCTAGGCCAAGCCGCAGGATTCAAACGCAACCCAGCGGGGTATCCCTGAAGGCTAACGCGGACTTTGAGGCGGAACCTGCTTCTGCTGAAAGTCTAGACGTGCAGCATTTGTGACCGTTGTCTACTAGAACTTCCGTCATCAACGATCGGATCCAGTGCCTTGGGACGAAGCTCAACTCCCTTCTGAATGCGGTCCGGCAGCGAGCTACCGGACATGGCGAGACAATAGGCTGGCGGGCAACAACAAAAGAGCAGTCAACCTCAATCTAGCTATCGGAACTCGGGAGGCGCCAGTATCCGTAATCTGATTGACAAAGAGCTGAGACGACAGGTCAAGCACGAGCAAGAATGCGCCAATGACGACCCAGGAATCGCGCAATGCCGACCTTGCTAGCACCGCATTTTCCTCATTACGTACAAATGGAGCCAAGCAAACGTCCCAGACGACCACCATGCCGTCATCAAGCGAACCAACTGGCGTTCCGTACTGCTCATAAGCCAACGTTTCCCCTCCCTCTCCGAAGTGGGCATCTCCGCGGAGGAGCCTGCAAATCTCCAAATTTACGCGCCCAAGAAGCTTGTTACTGCGTGCCGTCTGGCCGTCGCCAAAGGAACTTGGCTTTTTGCGTAACACACCACAAAGAGCCGAGAAAGAGAAGCAGCCATCCAGCATGAGAGCGAGCTCAGCTCAAGGGACAAGCGCCACTGGTCCCCCAGCTGCTCCAGCCTCCAGATACCTACTGCTACTAATGCAAACAGCCCCCGCTTCGTTGCCGTCAAATCTGCGGGTTTTGCGGGGAAGTTGGTCCATGCCTCGTAGGGCACCGTTGCGCGCCAGCTCCCTCGTCGGCAACTTCGCGCCCTTGAACGAAGAGTGTATGGAGACGATGCCGGCGAGACGTACACATGTAGGACCGAAACACGCCCTAGATGGCTCGCCGTTGTCGAAGACGACATTGTTGGGATTCCATACGCACGTCGCCGCCGGCCACTTCCACCGGTCCACCAAATTTACGTTATAGTATTCACTGTGTGTCGACCGCCGAGAGAACCCCTCATCGAGCTTGCAGGGTCCAATTCCCCGGAGGACGGCCGCTCATCGCACACCATCGGTCCAGCCAGATGTTTAGATATTGGCGCGGACCCGAAGGAGAAGGAAAATCCGGGGTCTATTGTGAATTGCTGTCCAACGCCGACCTCGCGTCTATTTTCAAGTCACCTGAGCCGACCTTTTTTTGACATCCCTGCCAGCTAGTCAGATCCATCAGGGCAATAGACTGCTATCCCCCACGGGCCCATCGTGCTTGTGGGCACCGATATCGCGTGTTGAGGAGAGAAAACTTCACGAGGCCCAGTTGGCACCTAAGCGAGCCAGTTACTGTACTAGGGCCGGAGGTATTGGTGGAGGGGCTTTATGTCCAAGAGGAGGAGCTTCTTTTGGAGGAGCTCGCGGAGCCGCAGCCCCATGTACCCCTTCTGGGTCGGCCGAGCGCGAGTACGATGCTTGTGTGCCCCAGATCAGCTCCGTTCAGCTGCCAAGTCTTTTGATATGTAGGCCTGGGAGCTCGCTGTGCTCATCAGCTTGAACGCGGTAGGCCGTGACCTCAACGTGGTTATCCCAAGCTTGGATCCCATGCACCAGACGTAGAGAAATCAAAATCGTCCGGTCCCAGTGTCCGTTCAAACCACGGCTGGGACGCGTCCAGTGACTCGAGACCGACTGGGTCGTTGTGAGGCTGAGCCATAATGTTGTCAAAGTATCGCTGCAGATATCAGTCAGATTGTACGGCTTTGCTTGCTTGGTGAGTGCGTGAAACATACCCAGTCCATCTCTTCATTGCCAACCGCCGCCCATCCACGATCGAGCCCAGGTTCACTTGGCCCGAGGCCCGACGTGACAAACTCAAAGGGCTGGAAGCGATTCGTCGTAGCCGTAGGGAACGATGTCGAGTCTGTCAGATAGTTAGCAGGTATAACACGAAAAGGGGCTATCTTCACAGCCGTACCATTCATTGAAAGACCGTCGAGTAGCTGTTGGTCGTCTTGGGCGGATCGAGCAGCCGATTCCGGCCCGTCACTCTGGCGAAGTCCCGATGCCGACGACACCTTTGCGCCCCCGTTCTCTGGCGGAGAATTCGGCGGCGACCCCAGCTTGTTCAGCATCGTTTCCAGGATACCCGCCGTCTTCCTCACCTCGTGCACGCCGCGGGCGATGGCGATCCAGACGGAATACGACCTCTGCAGGAGGTGCAGGAGGTACGCCCTCGTCGGCGGGGGATTCATCTCCGCCATCCACCCGGGCGAAGTCGTCGTCGTCGTCGCCGCGCCGGTCTTGCCGTCCACGCCACCCCAGAACGGTTCGTGTCCGATGGCGAGGTATAGGATGGTGGCGGCCAGGAGGAAGTCGTGCACGGCGAGCGAGGAGACGAACCAGCCGTTCTGGCTGAGCATGTTGCCCGGCTGGCAGGCGTGCCATATCGTGTTTTGGAAGTCGAGGAGGACGACGGCGCCCTCGAGGCACTGCCGGCGGGAGTAGTCGTGCTCGCGGCGCGGCGCGGGGTCGAGGAGGAAGCGGCGGTGGAGGACGCAGCGGCTCTTGTTGTAGAGCGAGGCGAGGCCGAAGCGCTGGATGATTTGCATGGGCGGGGTGGTGACGCACTCCTGTAGGGGTTTGACCATCATGAACTGCGGCACGGCGCACCACGAGGTGTTGAGGAGGTCGTCGAGGCGCATTACCTCGGCGTAGGGCGGCGGGGTGAGAAGGTGGGACTGCCGCGCGACTTGGCCGAAGACGAGCATCATGGCGGACTTGTTGATGGGGTAGGTCATCTCGGTGTAGTCCGTCGCGGGTCGGGCCGGCGGGAGCACGAGGGTGTCCTCGTCAAAGTCCTCGTCGATGAGGTTGCGCGGGAGGCTGCAGTCGGCGTCGATGCCGTTGAGCATGCTGGGGAGGCCCATGTGGAAGGAGACGAGGAGGTCGAGCTGGACGGCCATATTCCACATGCGGCGGCGCATCTCGCCCTCGTAGGGGGAGATGACGGTTCCCGCGGCGAGGAGGCGGTCCGGGTCGCGGTGGAGGCCCATCTTGAGGAGGAGGCGGAGGCAGACGGAGGAGAGGACGTAGCAGTTCATCTGGGCGGCGCGGGAGATGATGAACTCGGCCTCGACGTAGAGGATGAAGGGCGGGATGGTGGCGATGGTCGGGTGGGTGTACCTGCCCCAGACGAGGCAGCAGGCGGCGGCGGCGCGGAAGAGTTTGAAGCGGTCCATGGGCGGCTGCGGGGAGTCGACCGAGAGCTCGTGGGGTGCCATGAAGGTTGAGTAGAAGACGCCGAGAGACATGACCATGAAGAGGAGGGCGAGCCAGTGGAGGTCGGTGCTGGACGGGTCGGTCCAGAAGCGGGCGTACTGGATGGGAGTTGTTGGCAAGATTGTTGGCAGTAAGGGTATGAAGGAGGGAGACGGCGGATAGGAGATTGGAGACTCACTTGTTTTTCAAAAGTTGGTCTGTGAACGATATCTGCCGCCTTGTCAATACATACGAAGCCATGGGGTGAAGATCGCGAGAGCCGAGCCGTGGTGTCTTACGCTGTGATGGACTACGGGAGGAAAAGTACCTCATGATGAGTCTGTCGACAATCTTTTGCTCAGGGAGCAGCTTCAACAGGTCCTCTCTGCTGCGAGGCATGTTCCTCGAGAAGAGCATGAGATCAGGGGCCTCGATCTCGTCTGACGGTTCAGGGCTCTCGTCGTAGTCGGTCTCCGGCTCCTCAAAGTAGCTCTTCATATCCTCAATCTGCCAAACCCTCTTAGTCAATATCTCATCCAGTTCGGATTTCCTTCACATCTTGCATCGAGCATCACAGCGGGGGAAGGGAACAACTCACATCCTCAAGAATAGCCATGAAATGCGTAGCCCCAACATACGTACTCGCCCTACCCCCCTGAACAAGCTGACCCCCAGGCTGCGCGATGCCCTTCTCCTCCTCCTGCACGGCGTCGACAGCAGCACCAGTAGTCTGCGGTCCTCCTGGTCCCGCTCCCGCGACACCTCCTCCCTCATCCATCATCGTCCTCACCATACCCTCCAGCCTCTTGAGCCGCGCCGCCATGCCCTTCGCGGGCTTCTGCTTCTCGGGTTTCGGCGCGTAGACGCAGCCTTCCGGGCGGGACTTCTTCAGACACTGGCCGCACGGCTCGGAGCGGTCGCATTTCAGCTTGGAGGCGCGGCAGGGACCACAGGAGAGGAGGACGCGGGAGCGTTTTGCGGCGGCTGCTGCTGATGCTGATGCCGAATGGTAGGCGGACGAAGGTCCGGGGCCGGGGGCGGAAGAGTTGGAAGTGGAAGAGGGGTTGCTGCCGCCGGTGCTTGGTCCGGCGGGTGGGGTTACGTGGTCCGGATCCATTGGAGCTTACGGATACCCCTTGGTCGATTCGCAGAGACCGGACGATTAGAGACTGTAAGGCGTGTCCGATGCGGTGCCCGACGCCGCATGTGAGTGGGTGTGACGGGAATGACGGGGGTGGGGCTTAAGAAGGGGGGTGATGCCGTCCGTATTCAGATCCGGAGGTCTAACTTTATTTGACGTCAGTTCCGGAGCCGGGTTTTGTTTCTCCTTTGACAACCGCTAATGTTGTTTGTCGTCCTGTGTCAGCGTGTAATTGCGTGTGAGTCTGAAAGGAAAACCCGTTTGGGAATGCAGCAGGATGCAAGTCACGTTTGGGTCATTCTCTTGATTCAAAAAGCGGCCAAAAACCACCTACTAGGCAACTATGAGCTGACGGCTCCATCCGTCGGCCAGTCTCGGGGATACGGCTTGGTTAACCCCGACTATTTTGACGACCACCAAGGTTCCATACCAATAATTACAAAGTGCCAATCCACGATACACAATGGCTGGGTCGAATTGCATCACGACCCGACCTTTTGAGGGAAAATGCCAACAAAAACCAGAACCCAGATTTGCTTTTACTTCTCCCTTGCCGTGCTCCATTTCCAGGGCTCGGCGCGCCACTCGATGCGGCGATCTTCTCGATTTCCACGGTTTTTATATCGCCTTTTCTTGTCGGGAGATTGAGCTAGCACGGCATTCAAGCCCTTTTTCAGCTTGACAGTCCCATTGTCGTACCGTTCAAGCGACTCAATGTTCTCTCCCGCGCTGTTGGAGTGACCGTGATATCCCTCCTACATCGTTGATCCAAGCTTAAATCGGGGCATCGGGCAATCTCTCGATGGTGTACTTTCCGCGTCCACACTTCATGATAGGAACACCGGGTATGCGACGGAGCTAGAGAGATTGATGTTAGCATCTTCGTTGACTTCCGGGCGAGGTTGAACATACCCTGGACACAAGACCCTTATCGTTGGTTGCGACGAGGTACACTCTGTCTTTAGATACCTTGGACACCTATGAAACATTGATCAGTATTTCGATACAATCATCTGATGATGTAGAGTTCGGAGCCTTACGAGGCAGTCATCGGCATACACCTGAGGGAAAACGTAATTAGCAAAGGAAAATCATGATGGGGCTCGCAGTGGATCTTACTCCTTTGTGTGTGCACTTGTGTCGTTCGAAACGGGGGTCGCGCGCTACTCTGAGAGCAAGGCGGAACTTGGGACCAAGCTTTTCCAACTCGGCCATGACACAGTCGGTCACGATGGGGTGGCAGGTAGCTGGCTCGGACGTCAGTTGGTGCCAACAGAATTCGTGCGGTGCCGTAACCTACCGTAGAGACAGTCCATCATGGTTTCTATCACTGGCAACTTCATCTGAACTGTACTAGGAGTAGGTTAGTCGAGGAGGGCGAGAGTTATACGTTCGGGCAGGCTTGTCGTACCGGGAGAAGACTGGAGTACGGTTAACAACTGCGATTCAGAGGTAGGTAGGGGCGACGGGGCCTTACATGAGGTATCGACGAGGACGCCATAGGGAGGCACAAGACTTGAGTTGCTCTCAAAGAACATCTGGGAGGGGACCTGGGGAATCTCTCTGACGATTGTCTCGCCATCCGGACCGCCTCTTTCACGCTTCGCCTTCTGCTCAGCCTCTTCCGCCTTCTTCAGGTTCTCCTTGCGCCGGGCATCGTTCTTGCCGATAACTCGCTTGACCTAGTAGGAACGTACATGGTTAGCAAACTTGTTTGCAAGTGACAGTGTCAGAGAGACGTCAAGCCTCCAACGTTCGGTTGTAGGAATCGCAATCATCGTAAACTTCCGCTCGGTGAACCAGAAAAGTTCTTATCGATAAGGATTCCGATATTTTCTTTGCGATGCGCGCGAGGTTTGGCGCAAAGTAGGGACTGGCGGACGTACTTCACCAAACTTTCTGGTCTTCTTCTGGACACCCATGGTGTCGGTCTCGTGCGGGTAATCGGGTATAGGTCGTCGTCGTAGTCTTCGAGCGGAGGAGTACTGGCGTCTGCGAGGCTGGACAAGGCTGTTGCGTTGACGTTTTCCTGAGTTTAGTCGCCCTGCGTATGTGGCGGGGCCGAGAGCTGGGAAAAAAAGTTTTCGGTGTAGGATGGAGGGTGGTCTCGGTGTCTGGCATACAAGCCCAGGTGAGGACGTTGTCAGTCTGTGCGCTCGGTGAGAACTTTGGGCGAGGCCGCGCAGCGTTTGCGAGCAAGGTGGGTCCTGGGGAGGGTGACCCAGAGCAACCGGAATGAGGGGACAATGAGACTCTCAGGGACCGAGGTGGACAAATTGCAGGGGGTCTCCTCCTCCACGGTTTTCTTCTGTATTTCTATCTGCTCTACCGCTGTCGGGCGTTGGTCTTCTAGCGTTACAATTTCCTCTCCCACCTCAGGAAAAGCAAACAATCGATCAACGGCGCTCAAACGCCGGAGGTAAGGTGGGCGCTGCGCTGGAGTCTGGACTGGTAGTCTGGTGGTGCCTTGCATCAGCACTTCTGTGCACTGCCCTGCGCATGCATAATAGCAGCCCATTATGATCAGAGACGGGTCTGATACCCGCCGCGCCCATTCATGAGCTTGCCTTAGTCTGAAGCATCCGGCATGAATTTCAAACTACTGGAGCACTGGAGGTCTGACGAACGCGAAGACGAAGCGAAGCTGCAAAGATAGGGGACCACCGGGACTCTGGTGGAGAGGAATGGGGCATCATTCGCATTCCACAGCGAGGCTCGCCATCACTTCACGGCCCATTTTTTTTCCAACGAGTTTCGATGATCTTTGGCTAATATTGGGTAAATGGGTGGGCATCTGCCAGGTACGCTTACACGCTTACCCCGGATGGATGGCTCGTGTTGATGATGGTTGCGACCTGCAGCCACTGTAGCGCATGCTGGAAGCCTGGAAATGATGATTAGTGGGATCAACCCTCGCCTGTTGGACACCTCAGTTTTCAATACGAGAGCGTGTGGGCATACGAAAGAAGGCGGAAGCACATCATCATCATGGAGGGCGACTTGTGTACAGTCCTGCAGCATAGTGTGTATAGATGGCACACCGTGTCTGTTTCCCCAGACTTGCGCGTTTTCTGCAGGTCAAAAACCTGGCTTGCATGAGCTGGCAGCACTGTGTCTGCATGTCTCTCTCCCTCTCGCATTCCCAGGAAATGCCGCCCAAATGCACAAAAATAAACAGACCCCGACACAGCAGCACGTCAGAACTTTCAGGTGCAGCCATTGGAAATGCGCCGCGCCACAGCCCAGGCCCCAAGGGCAGGGACGAGAACCGCCCAGTCCGCTAACACGAAATGGATGCTGTAGACTGTCGCCTGTTGTGCTTGCTCTCAGCAGGTTCCTCCAGAGCAGGCAAGGACCCTTCCTCCTTTTTTTCCCCAGGCCCGTTCCCTGCTGACCAGGGGCCCGCCTTCGCCATCCATTCCCTTTCTCTTCCCCATCACGCACCCTCATCCCTCCCGTCCCTCTCCTGCTCCCTCCAACCCTTCCTCCCTAATTGACTCCCTCACGACAAACCTCGGAAGCCGCCCACCCAGCAAACGATCAACCGGCACCAGCAATGTTTTAGCCAGCGGGACCTTTCCTTCTTTCATATTGCTTTGCCTGTCCAGTCTGCATCCGCAACTGCCTCGATACTTTCGTTCGATTCTCCCCAATTCATCGCACTCAGCCTGCGCCAGCTGAATGAACCGAACCGCCCCATCCGGAAGGACACCACAACGACGACCCAACCCCGTTTTCTACCCACGGGGACCGACAAAATCGCCGTCAACGACCTTCTTTCATCGATTCGACAACCGAACAGCATAGAGTGTCTAGACCAAAAGTGACCGACGACTGCATCACCCTGAGTTTGGAGCATCGCATCCCACCGTAAACACCGGACCCCCTCGGACGTAACTGAATCGACCGACCATGGTTTCGTCACGCCATTCGCTGAAGCGCTCGCTTCTCCTGTCCACCTTTGCCGCCTTGTCTCTCTTCTCTACCACGGGTCTCGCGCAAGATAGTAGCAGTGGAGGAAATGCCCAGACCAGTGCTTCGCAGGCAGCTTCTACAGACGATGCCACCACCTCGGCCGCGCAGCCTTCGCGCACCAACGCGGCAACCGCCGTCATCACCAACACCGGCACCGTTGCCACAACGGAAGCGAGCATCAGTGCCCCTAGAATCACCGGCACCTCCGATTCCACTGGCGATGTCCTCACGGGTCTACCGTCCCTTACAAACCAGCCCATTGTGACGACATACCCGCCGGCCAGTGTACCCCCCACCAACAACGCTCCTTATATGCACCGCTCGAGTGCTCCTCAAGGAACCGTCTTCATTGCCGTGGGCTCCATTCTTGGTGCCTTTGGCCTCGGCATTCTGATCTGGCGCGGCATCATCGCTTGTCTGCTGCACCGCTCCGTCGCCCGCGCCGCCAATGCTCAGTATGTCGCCAACGACAAGCAGAGCTTCCCTGCCCCTCCAGCGCAATTCTACAAGTATACCGACCGCGAATCCACTCCTTCTCTCGTTCCCAATGGAGGACGTGGTGTGCGTAGAACGCAGCGCGGCCCCATCCCCTCTGCGACGCCGAGCCAGTCGAACCTCTTCTTCTCGCCCACCGCAGCTGGCGGCGGCAATAGCAACAACAATAACAATAACTCGGCCACCAACCGCGACTCTCGTTTCCTTCCTTCTGGATTCTACGCCGCTGCCACCTCGTCTCCCAGTCCTGCTCACGGTCACTCAATAAGTTTGACGAACCTCCGCCCCGAATCCCGAGGCCAGTATGGAAGCCGCAACAACTTGAGGGAATCTACGCCTCCGGAATCTCCTTCGTACGGCGCAAGGCGCGACTTTAGCACTAGCTCGGTCAACTTGTCTGCGGCGCCTGGGAACGGACAAAGAGCTCCCAGTGCTTACCTCGAGGATCTCTTGGACGAGAATCCCAATGCCTTCCCGCCAAGCCAGATGCGCCCCGGATCTCGAAATGCCAACAACTCTCCCGGTGGTCGATTCTAGAGAGAGGGGTTCTTTTCTATTTGGTTTCATTCCATCTATGCATCAAAAACAGTTTCATTACGTCATGAAAAAATGGCGAGACGTCACGGCTTGGGGCTTTTTGAATGGTACATTCATGGCGTTTAGGGGTATCATCAAGTTGCATCACTGGTTTGGAATACTGTTCTTAATCATCATCCAGTGAGGCCGGGCACTTTTTTCGGTACCGGTCTTACAGCAATTTTGAGGTGGAGCGCGGGTCAAAAGGCAAAGGCGGCTCCCTTTTCAACAGGGCTGCTACGCAAGGGTGGTTGTCTAGTTGTATTTTGGCCCTGTACACCACGACAGGCGTGACGGAGCATTAAACTGGGAGTCTTGGTGACGACGATCCGCCGGTGGCATTTTGTCTTCGCTTCTACATCGCTCGCTGGTACATATTCTTTCAATGAGCAGAAATACTCGAAAATATCTTGAGACAATTTCATGTGATGTTTACTAACCATCAAGCTGTAGTTCTTTGTACATGTCGTCACGACAACCGCTGACAATATGCTTCTGCATGGGAAACCTTATGTACGGATTACGTCTGAAGTGTACTCGTCCGGATAGAGATAAAGCTGGTCCGATGTCGTCAGCCCATTTGACTTTTCTCGGCAATCATCCCAATCTATTAAACTTTTTTGACACAACGTGGGCAAGGGGGGGAAGCTTTCCGTGGAAAAAGGAAATATGAGCCTCCTTTTTTATACTTCGGATTTGGACCTGCTACACGATGTAAATGGAACCGAGCGGACCGAGAGCAACGTCGCATGTACGGATGGTATGTCCATCGCCCGAGGTTGTCTGATTAAACGTGCCCCGTGGTAGGGGGGAGGAGAGGGGGTTTGCATCTTTACTACTTTTTCTTCGTTTCCTTCTTTGATGAATACAGGATATACGGGATATATCCCCGAATGTCTGGTATCTCGATATGAACCGAGATTTCGCTTCCTAAGCTATTGAGACCGAGCTGTCGAGACGCATACGACATACCTCAACCCCCAGGGTTTCTACCACCATCACGAGACTAGAAATATCGCTCACCCATTTATTCCTTGAAGTATCAAAACTTCTTTGCCCCATCCTCGCTTGAAACAGCTGCGAACCGCAACCAAGCGTACGGAGTAACAGGGTGCATCTACCCGTCGTGAACCCACCGGATCTTGTCACACCCTTTCCAGCGCCATGTATCACGATTCGTCTACCCCCCTTCCGTACGACCTAGATCCGGGGGAAGACGAACGCTGTGGATTCGTGAGAGAGAGAGAGAGAGACATTTTCGGTTCTTTGCTTCCTTAGTCTCACGATCTCTTGGCTGTCCAAGGCTTGCGGGCGCCTGGTGGGGTTGTGCTAACGAAGAGCAGCAGCAGAGACGACTGGATCACGGGTGGTACAGGTATGATGAGGGCTTCAGCATCACGTTCTATGCGAAACGTCGGTGTGCGGTTTCTTCTTTCTTAACATTTTTTGGTTTCTTTTCTATTTTGTATTACACGCCCTCTATTTACAGCAAGACATGCTCGATGCTTCTGGTATATGGAGGGCCGGGTATGAAAATTACTTGTCCCAGACGCTATTGTCCCTACGATTTCCTTGCCTTCTCTTTCTTGAGGGACCATGTTTGTTCTTCCTGAATGTACTGCATTTTATGTTATCCCCTTACATTCACTTATACCACCAGCTCATGATGTCCCCGACTAACTCGATCCGCCAGCTTGGATTTCCTGAGGAGCAGTACCCTCGCTCGCGCCGCGGATATCCTCTAGTCTGATGCCACTGCGATCACACATGCTCCTGAAGATACCGCCCTCCCGCTGCCACAGCGCAAGAGGCGTATCCAGCTCCGCGATACGGCCGGCGTCCATGACGCAGATGCGGTCGTAGCCGATGATGGTGCGCAGACGATGGGCAATGCACAACAGCGTCCTGCCCCTGAAGCTCGTGGCAATCGTGTTCTGGATCTTGTCGTCCGTTTCCATGTCAACAGAGGACGTCGCCTCGTCACAGACAATGATGCGGCTGCCGCGGACGAGAGCACGCGCCAGGGCCATGAGCTGGCGCTGTCCGAGGGAGAAGTTGAGACCATCCTCTTCGACGACGGAGTCGAGGTGGATGCTTGACGACTCCTTGGACCTTGGATCCTCGAGGTTCGCGTCTGCTGGAACGAGATCGGCCTGTCGCAGGGCGGACCACAGTTCCAGATCCGTGTGCTCGTTGAATGGGTCGAGGTTGGAGCGGACTGTGCCCCTGAAAAGCGTCGGGTCTTGTGGAATGATTGCCAGGCGGGATCGCAGGTCATGGAGACCAATTGTCGAAATGTCGACACCGTCAATTGTGATGTGTCCACCCGACAGCTCGACGAGACGGAAGAGAGTCGACATGATGGACGACTTGCCCGCACCCGTTCTACCGACGATACCGATACGCTCGCCGCCTTGCACGTGCATGGAAAGACCGGACAGCACAAGAGGCAAGTTGGCGCGGTAGCGCATC